TGATTAAATGTTTCTGCTGTGTTTTCTGTGAAAGTACGTTTTGTGGTAGTAGCTGTTTGTCCAAATGGGTTAATGGATAAAGAATTGTCAAAGATAACAGCAAAGTGATCCGACAGAGCGACAGGGTATGAAATTTTTACAAAATTATATATTTTTTCCATGTTTGTTAAAACTGTCACCATATTCTGACAGTATGGTATGAGACAGATAATCTGTTAAAAAATCAAGTTCCTCTGCCTACTCCCAGTGCTACTGTACCAGTTTTTTTGTTTTTTTGTAGAGTCTTGTTCAATAAAAGATATTGAACTCTAAAATAAATAAATAAAATCCCCTTCTCACCCCCCGCGGGTGGTCTCTTCTCTGAGCTCGGGTCCTCTACCAGAGGCCTGGGAGCTTGAGGGTTCTCAAGGCTGTGCCTAGAACTGCACATTTCTGGACTGAGATGTCTGATGTTGTTCCTGGGATCTGTTTGAGCCACTGCTCCAGTTTGGGGGTGACTGCCACGAGGACCCCGATGACCACAGGCACCACTGTGGTCTTCACCTTCCAGGCCTTCTCCAGTTCCTCTCTGAGGCCCTGGTATTTCTCCAGTTTCTCCTTTTTCCTGATGTTGTGGTCACTTGGTATTGCTACATCCACCACAACGGCTTTCCTCTGTTGTTTATCCACCACCACAATGTCCGGTTGGTTCGCCATTACCATCTTGTCTGTCTGGATCTGGAAGTCCCACAGGATCTTAGCTCGGTCATTCTCCACCACTTTTGGGGTTGTTCCCCATTTTGATCTCGGGGCTTCCAGTCCATATTCTGCACAGATGTTTCTGTACACTATGCCCGCCACTTGGTTATGTCGTTCCATGTACGCTTTCCCTGCCAGCATCTTGCACCCTGCTGTTATGTGCTGGACTGTCTCAGGGGCCTCCTTGCACAACCTACACCTTGGGTCTTGTCTGGTGTGGTAGATCTGAGCTTCTATTGCTCTGGTGTTTAGGGCCTGTTCCTGTGCAGCCAGGAACAGGCTGAGCACATCGTCCGTTGAGGCTTTGTCCTTGATGTATTTATGGATCTTGGATGTTTCATCCTGGACAGTGGCTCTCACACTCACTAGTCCTCTGCCTCCTTCCTTACGGCTCCTG